CACCCACACCCATCTTCCCTCTCCCACACACCAATCCTCCCTTTCCCACACACACCAATCTTCCCTTTCCCACACACACCCCAATCTTCCTTTTCCCACACACACACACACCAATCTTCCCTTTCCCGGCACACACACCAAACTTGCCTTTCCCACACACACACCAATCTTGCCTTTCCCACACACCAATCTTCCCTTTCCCACACACACACACACCAATCTTCCCTTTCCCACACACACACCAATCTTCCCTTTCCCGGCACACACACCAATCTTCCCTTTCCCGGCACACACACCAATCTTACCTTTCCCACACACACACCCTTCTTTCCTTTCCCACACACACACAAACCAATCTTCCCTTTCCCGGCACACATACACCAATCTTGCCTTTCCCACACACACACACCAATCTTCCCTTTCCCGGCACACACACCAATCTTCCCTTTCCCACACACACACACCCTTCTTTCCTTTCCCACACACACACACACACACCCCCCAATCTTCCCTTTCCCGGCACACACACCAATCTTCCCTTTCCCGGCACACACACACCAAACTTGCCTTTCCCACACACACCAAACTTGCCTTTCCCACACACACCAATCTTGCCTTTCCCACACACACACACACCAATCTTCCCTTTCCTGGCACACACACCAATCTTCCCTTTCCCGGCACACACACACCAAACTTGCCTTTCCCACACACACACTCTTCTTTCCTTCCCCACACACACACCAATCTTCCCTTTCCCGGCACACACACCAATCTTCCCTTTCCCGGCACACACACCAATCTTCCCTTTCCCACACACACACCCTTCTTTCCTTTCCCACACACACACAAACCAATCTTCCCTTTCCCGGCACACATACACCAATCTTGCCTTTCCAACACACACACACACACCAATCTTCCCTTTCCCGGCACACACACCAATCTTCCCTTTCCCACACACACACACCCTTCTTTCCTTTCCCACACACACACACCAATCTTCCCTTTCCCGGCACACACACCAATCTTGCCTTTCCCACACACACACCAATCTTCCCTTTCCTGGCACACACACCAATCTTCCCTTTCCCGGCACACACACACACCAAACTTGCCTTTCCCACACACACACACCAATCTTTCCTTTCCCACACACACACTCTTCTTTCCTTTCCCACACACACACCAATCTTCCCTTTCCCACACACACACCAATCTTCCCTTTCCCACACACACACACCAATCTTCCCTTTCCCAGCACATACAATGCTCTTTACTGGAGGATACACTGGAGGTCAGTTGGCTTCGTTATCCGAGTGGCCCCCACACACTCCTGGGGGTCTAATGAGGGACGTAGGAGGAGTCCTGGGGGGTCTAATGAGGGACGTAGGAGGAGTCCTGGGGGGTCTAATGAGGGACGTAGGAGGAGTCCTGGGGGGTCTAATGAGGGACGTAGGAGGAGTCCTGGGGGGTCTAATGAGGGACGTAGGAGGAGTCCTGGGGGGTCTAATGAGGGACGTAGGAGGAGTCCTGGGGGGTCTAATGAGGGACGTAGGAGGAGTCCTGGGGGGTCTAATGAGGGACGTAGGAGGAGTCCTGGGGGGTCTAATGAGGGACGTAGGAGGAGTCCTGGGGGGTCTAATGAGGGACGTAGGAGGAGTCCTGGGGGGTCTAATGAGGGACGTAGGAGGAGTCCTGGGGGGTCTAATGAGGGACGTAGGAGGAGTCCTGGGGGGTCTAATGAGGGACGTAGGAGGAGTCCTGGGGGGTCTAATGAGGGACGTAGGAGGAGTCCTGGGGGGTCTAATGAGGGACGTAGGAGGAGTCCTGGGGGGTCTAATGAGGGACGTAGGAGGAGTCCTGGGGGGTCTAATGAGGGACGTAGGAGGAGTCCTGGGGGGTCTAATGAGGGACGTAGGAGGAGTCCTGGGGGGTCTAATGAGGGACGTAGGAGGAGTCCTGGGGGGTCTAATGAGGGACGTAGGAGGAGTCCTGGGGGGTCTAATGAGGGACGTAGGAGGAGTCCTGGGGGGTCTAATGAGGGACGTAGGAGGAGTCCTGGGGGGTCTAATGAGGGACGTAGGAGGAGTCCTGGGGGGTCTAATGAGGGACGTAGGAGGAGTCCTGGGGGGTCTAATGAGGGACGTAGGAGGAGTCCTGGGGGGTCTAATGAGGGACGTAGGAGGAGTCCTGGGGGGTCTAATGAGGGACGTAGGAGGAGTCCTGGGGGGTCTAATGAGGGACGTAGGAGGAGTCCTGGGGGGTCTAATGAGGGACGTAGGAGGAGTCCTGGGGGGTCTAATGAGGGACGTAGGAGGAGTCCTGGGGGGTCTAATGAGGGACGTAGGAGGAGTCCTGGGGGGTCTAATGAGGGACGTAGGAGGAGTCCTGGGGGGTCTAATGAGGGACGTAGGAGGAGTCCTGGGGGGTCTAATGAGGGACGTAGGAGGAGTCCTGGGGGGTCTAATGAGGGACGTAGGAGGAGTCCTGGGGGGTCTAATGAGGGACGTAGGAGGAGTCCTGGGGGGTCTAATGAGGGACGTAGGAGGAGTCCTGGGGGGTCTAATGAGGGACGTAGGAGGAGTCCTGGGGGGTCTAATGAGGGACGTAGGAGGAGTCCTGGGGGGTCTAATGAGGGACGTAGGAGGAGTCCTGGGGGGTCTAATGAGGGACGTAGGAGGAGTCCTGGGGGGTCTAATGAGGGACGTAGGAGGAGTCCTGGGGGGTCTAATGAGGGACGTAGGAGGAGTCCTGGGGGGTCTAATGAGGGACGTAGGAGGAGTCCTGGGGGGTCTAATGAGGGACGTAGGAGGAGTCACACACCAATCTTCCCTTTCCCACACACACACACACCAATCTTCCCTTACACACACACACACCAATCTTCCCTTTCCCGGCACACACACCAATCTTCCCTTTCCCGGCACACACACCAATCTTACCTTTCCCACACACACACCCTTCTTTCCTTTCCCACACACACACAAACCAATCTTCCCTTTCCCGGCACACATACACCAATCTTGCCTTTCCCACACACACACACCAATCTTCCCTCCCCCGGCACACACACCAATCTTCCCTTTCCCACACACACACACCCTTCTTTCCTTTCCCACACACACACACACACACACCCCAATCTTCCCTTTCCCGGCACACACACCAATCTTCCCTTTCCCGGCACACACACACCAAACTTGCCTTTCCCACACACACCAAACTTGCCTTTCCCACACACACCAATCTTGCCTTTCCCACCCACACACACACCAATCTTCCCTTTCCCGGCACACACACCAATCTTCCCTTTCCCGGCACACACACCAATCTTCCCTTTCCCACACACACACCCTTCTTTCCTTTCCCACACACACACAAACCAATCTTCCCTTTCCCGGCACACATACACCAATCTTGCCTTTCCAACACACACACACACACCAATCTTCCCTTTCCCGGCACACACACCAATCTTCCCTTTCCCACACACACACACCCTTCTTTCCTTTCCCACACACACACACCAATCTTCCCTTTCCCGGCACACACACCAATCTTGCCTTTCCCACACACACACCAATCTTCCCTTTCCTGGCACACACACCAATCTTCCCTTTCCCGGCACACACACACACCAAACTTGCCTTTCCCACACACACACACCAATCTTTCCTTTCCCACACACACACTCTTCTTTCCTTTCCCACACACACACCAATCTTCCCTTTCCCACACACACACCAATCTTCCCTTTCCCACACACACACACCAATCTTCCCTTTCCCAGCACATACAATGCTCTTTACTGGAGGATACACTGGAGGTCAGTTGGCTTCGTTATCCGAGTGGCCCCCACACACTCCTGGGGGTCTAATGAGGTGACGTAGGAGGAGTCCTGGGGGGCCTAATGAGGGACGTAGGAGGAGTCCTGGGGGGTCTAATGAGGGACGTAGGAGGAGTCCTGGGGGGTCTAATGAGGGACGTAGGAGGAGTCCTGGGGGGTCTAATGAGGGACGTAGGGGGAGTCCTGTGGGGTCTAATTAGGGACGTAGGAGGAGCCCTGGGGGGGCTAATGGACTGGACATGTGTCCTCCTCACACTGGGGAGCTGAGATTCTGGGACTCTCGGTGACTCTCTTTGATGTTCGCTCACGCTTGTTCCGGGTGAATCTTTCCTCCTCTGTACAGATTCTGGACGCTCGCCATGTCTGCGGGCGCTGAGCGCCGTGTTTACTCTTCACACAATCATCACCTGACGAAATAAGAACCTGACATCCCGAAATATCAACAACACCCCCAAATCCACACATAGGAGGAGCGGAGGGGGACCCCGAAATATGATACATGTCTGATATGTGAGGTTCTGATGAAGGGGGCGTGCCCCTGAAACGCGTAGACCTTTAGAACTCAAGGGGGCAGAGGACGCTGATGTGCTGCACTCCTTCAGACTTCCGCTGCTGGAGATTGTACACATCATCACCATTTGTATGCTTTTAACCCCCGACTTCCCTGCAAGTAGATTTTTATTTGCGTGTTGTACAAATAAATGAGACGTTTCCGCTATTGAAGACGTGTATCCAAACCTCTGTCATTGTCCTTAGCGGTGAAACAAGTTGTTTTACACGCCGGCCGGTGAGTGCGCCATGACGCCTTTCTACCGTTTCCGCTATGGAGGCGCTCTGTCTCGGCCCTTGTTTCCGGTGAGAGCTGCCTCTTGGGTGTTCAAGCCAACTTCACAACCAGCCCATCTTGCAACCGGAGGCGCCGCTATTGGTTCTTTCGTTATGTCTGATATGCGTGTACGCATTATATTACCATTAGTATTGGGGCGCCTTTACACGCACATGAACTTTAACCCCTTCATGACTGACGCACGTTGTTACATTGTTGCTGTGCGATTTTTCCCCGTCACTCCTTAGAGGACGGATCGGGCGATACATTTATATCACATACATGTGGACCGAACGCGTCACTCCGGACAAATAAAATATTTAAAAAAGGAAAAAACGTAAAGAAAACACTTTTCCCCGGTCGCCCGGCGTACAATGTCGCCGCGTGTCGCCGCGTGTCGCTAAGTGACGGCGACATACTTGTGTCATGAGGAGGTGAAAAACTAATCTGCAGCTCGGCTCATTGTCGGGATCATTTTATTTGTTACATTTGTTTTTATTGATTGATATCCGGCGGTCGTTGTGATTGGATCTCATTATTACTGCCGGATACATTCATCAATTCAGATGCTTCAGCCCATAA